CTAAGCCAAATTCCAAAACCCTAAATCCCTAACCCTAAGCCAAATCCCGAAACCCTAAACCCAAAGCCAAATCCCAAAGCACTAAACCCAAAACCCAAAGCCAAATCCCAAAACCCTTAAACCAAAACCCTAAGCCAAGTCCCGAAACCCTAAACCCAAAAAACTAAGCCAAATCCCAAAACCCTAAGTCAAATCCCAAAACCCTAAACACCAAACCCTAAGCCAAATCCCAAAACCCTAAATCCCAAACCCAAAACCCTAACCCAAATCCCCAAACCCTAAAACCAGGACCCTAAGCCAAATCCCGAAACCCTAAACCCGAAGCTAAATCCTAAAGCACTAAACCCAAAACCCTAAGCCAAATCCCAAAACCCTAAACCCAAAACCCTAAGCCAAATCCCAAAACCCTAAACCCAAAAAACTAAGCCAAATCCCAAAACCTTAAGCAAATCCTAAAACCCTAAACACCAAACCCTAAGCCAAATCCCAAAACCCTAAATCCCAAACCCTAACCCAAATACCAAAACCCTAAGCCCCAGACCTTAGGCCAAATCCCGAAACCCCAAACCCAAAGCCAAATCCCAAAACCCAAAACCCTAAGCCCCAAACCCTAGGCCAAATCCCTAAACCCTAAGCCCAAAACAAGCCAAATCCCAAAAAACTCAAATCTCAAAACCCTAAACACCAAAACCCTAAGCAGAATCCCAAGACCCTAAACCCCAAACCCTAAGTCAAATCCCAAAACCCTAAGCCTCAAACCCTCAGCCAAATCCCAAAATCCTAAACCCTAAGCCAAATTCAAACACCCTAAGCCCAAAGCCAAATCCCAAAGCCCTAAACCCTAAACCAAATCCCAAAACCCTAAACCCCAAGCCAAATCCCAAAACCCTAAACCTAAAAAACTAAGCCAAACCCTAAACCCTAAACCCAAAACCCTAAATCCCAAACCCTAAGCCAAATCCCAAAACCCTAAACACCAAACCCTAAGCCAAATCCCGAAACCCTAAACCCAAAGCCAAATCCCAAAGCACTAAACCCAAAACCCTAAGCCAAATCCCAAAACCCTCAAACCAAAACCGTAAGCCAAGTCCCGAAACCCTAAACCCAAAAAAACTAAGCGAAATCCCAAAACCCTAAGCCAACTCCAAAAACCCTAAACCCAAAACCCTACGCCAAATTCCAAAGCACTAAACCCAAAACCCTAAGCCAAATCCCAAAACCGTAAGCCAAGTCCCGAAACCCTAACCAAAAAAAAACTAAGCCAAATCCCAAAACCCTAAGTCGAATCCAAAAACCCTAAACCCAAAACCCTAAACCCAAAACCCAAACCCCCAAGCACTAAACCCAAAACCCTAAGCCAAATCCCAAAACCCTTAAACCAAAACCCAAAGCCAAGTCCTGAAACCCTAAACCCAGAAAACTAAGCCAAATCCCAAAACCCTAAATCCCAAACCCTCACCCAAATCCCTAAACCAAAAACACTAAACCAAACCCTGAAACCTTAAACCCAAAACCTTACGCCAAATCCCAAAACCCTAAACCCCAAACCCTACGCCAAATCACAAGACCCTAAACCCAAAACGCTAAGCCAAACCCAAAACCCTAAACCCCAAACCCTAGGCCAAACCCCCAAGAACTAAACCCAAAACCCTAAGCCAAATCCCAAAACCCTTAAACCAAAACCCTAAGCCAAGTTCCAAAAACCCTAAACCCAAAAAACTAAGCCAAATCCCAAAACCCTAAGTCGAATCTCAAAGCCCTAAACACTAAACCCTAAGCCAAATCCTGAAACCCTAAATCCCAAACCCTCACCCAAATCCCAAAACCCTAAGCCCCAAACCCTAGGCCAAATCCCAAAACCCTAAACCCAAAACGCTAAACCAAAACCCCGAAACCCTAAACCCAAAACACTAAGGCAAATCCCCAAACCCAACGCTAAATCCCAAAAACCCAGACCCTAGGCCAAATCACAAAACCCCAAACCCTAAACCCTACACCCTAACCCTAGGCCAAATCCCAAAACCCTAAACCTAAAACGCTCAACCAAAACCCCGAAACCCTAAACCCTAAGCCAAATCACAAAACCCTAAACCCAAAACACTAAGCCAAACCCTAAATCCAAAACACTAAGCCAAACCCTAAACCCAAAACACTAAGCCAAACCCTAAACCCCAAACCCTAGGCCAAACCCCAAACCCTAGGCAGAACCCCAAAAGCCTACGCCGACACCCAAAACCCTGAGAAAAATCCCAAAACCCTAAACTCAAAACCCTGAGTCACATACCAAAACCCTAATCCCAAAACCCTAGGCCAAACCCTAAACCCCAAACCCTAGACCAAATTCCAAAACCCTAAATCCCAAACACTAAGCCAAAACCCTAAGTCAAATCCTAACACCCTAAACACCAAACCCAAATCTCAAAGCCCTAAATCCCAAACCCTAACCCAAATCCCAAAACCCTAAGCCCCAAACCCTAGGCCAAATCCCAAAACCCTAAACCCAAAGCCAAATTTTAAAGCACTAAACCCAACACATTAAGGCAAATCCCAAAACCCTAAAACCAAGACCCTAAGCCAAATCCCGAAACCCTAAGCCCAAAAACACTAGGCCAAATCCCAAAACCCTAAGTCAAATCCCAAAACCCTAAACACCAAACCCTAAGCCAAATCCCGAAACCCTAAACCCAAAACCCTACGCCAAATCCCAAAACCCTAAGCCCCAAACCCTAAGCCAAGTCCCAAAACCCCAAGGCCCAAACCCTAAGCCAAGTCCCAAAACCCTAAGCCAAATCCCAAAACCCTAAACCCAAAATCAACTAAACCCAAAACCCTAAGCCACATCCCAAAACCCTATACTCTTAACCCAAAACCCCTAAACCCACATGCCTACACCAGAAAAACCTTACACCCTCAACCCTAAACCCATAAAACCAAACCCCAAAACGAAACCCAAACCCTAAAGCTCAAACGAAAATCCTAAACCTAAAACCTTAAACCAAAATCCAAATCCCAAATTCCTAAGCCAAAACCCCTAACATTAAAGCAAAACCCAAGACCCCACACCCTAAAACCTACAATCAAATCCCTAAACCCAAAACTTGAAACCGTAAACCAAAACTCTAAGCCAAAACCCAAAACCCTAAGTCAAATCCCAAAATCCTAAACCCTAAGCCAAATCCCAAAACCCTACGACCCAAACCCTAAGCCAAATCCAAAATCCCTAGACCCCAAACTCAAAGCCAAATCCCAAAACCCTATGCCCCAAACCCTAGGCCAAGACCCTAAGCTCAATCCCAAAACACAAAGAAAAATCCCAAAACCCTAAGCCCTAGACCAAATCCCAAAACCCTAAACCCCAAACCCTACGCCAAATCCCAAATCCCTACACCCCAAACCCAAAGCCAAATCCCAAAACCCTAAGCCCCAAACCCTAGGCCAAATCCCGAAACCCTAAACCCCAAACCCTACGCCAAAACCCTAAACCCTTAGCCAAATCGCAAAACCCTAACCCCAAGATTCTAAGCAAAATACCAAAACCCTTAATTAAAAACACTAAGCAAAATCCCAAAACTTTAGGACTCAAACCCTAAGCCAAATCCCAAAACCGTAAGACCCAAACCCTAAGCCAAATCCCAAAGCCCTCAACCTAAAACCCTAAACCAAATCCCAAAACCCTAAGCCCCAAACCCTAGGCCAAATCCCAAAACCTTAAACCCAAACCCTAAGCCAATTCCCAAAACCCCAAGCTCCAAACCCCAAGCCAAATCCCAAAAGCGTAAGCACCAAACCCTAAGCCAAATCCCAAATCCCTAAACCCAAAACTCTAAGACAAATCCCAAAACCCTATGCCCTGAAGCCTAGGCCAAAACCCTAAGCTAAATCCCAAAACCCTAAACCCAAAATATTAAGCAAAATCCAAAAATCTAAGCCCTAAAGCAAATCCCAAAACCCAAAGCCCCAAACCCTAGGCCAAATCCCAAAACCCTAAGCCTCAAATCCTGGGCCAAAACACTAAACCCTTAGCCAAATCGCAAAACCCTAACCCCAAAACACTAAGCAAAATCCCAAAACCCTTAATCCAAAACACCAACCAAAATCCCAAAATCTTAAGGTTAAAACCCCCTAGCCAAATCCCAAAACCCAAAGACCCAAACCCTTAGCCAAATCCAAAATCCCTAAACCCCAATCCCAAAGCCAAATCCCAAAACCCTAGGACCCAAACCCTAGGCCAAATCCCAAAACCCTAAACCTCAAACCCTAGACCAAAACCCTAAGCAAAATCCCAAAGCCCTAAACCAAAAACTCTACGCAAAATCTAAAAGACCTAAGCCCAAAACCCTACGCCAGATCCCAAAACCCTAAGCCCCAAACCCTAGGCCAAATCCCAAAACCTTAAACCCAAACCCTAAGCCAAATCCCAAGACCCGAAGCCCCAAACCCTAGGTCAAATAACAATACCCTAAGTGCCAAATCCTACGCCAAATCAAAAAACCCCAGACCCAAAACTCTGAATCAAATCAACAAACCCTAAACCCCAAACCCTAAGTAGAATCCCAACACCCTAAACCCCAAACCCTTAGCCAAATCTCAAAGCCCCAGACAAAAAATCCTCCGCCAAAATCCCAAAACCTTCAGCCCAATCCGAAAACTTTCAGCCCCTAAACCAAATCTAAAAATCTTCCACCCAAAGCCAAATACTAAAGCTCTAAACCCTTATTAAAATTTCAAACCCCACACCCCCAAAATAAAGCCTAAACCCTAACCCCAACCCTAAACCCAACACTAACCCCAACCCAAACCCCAACCCCAACCCCAACCCCAACCCCAACCCCAACCCCAACCCCAACCCCAACCCCAACCCCAACCCCAACCCCAACCCAAACCCTACTCCCAACAATAACCCCAACCCTGACCCCAACCCTAGCCCCAACCCTATCCCCAACAATAATCCTAACCCCAACCCTACATAAAACTCTACGTCCAACCCTACTCCCAACTAGAACCCCAACCCAAACCCCAACCCTAGCCCCAACCCTATCCCCAACCCTATCCCCAACACTAACCCAAACCCCAACCCTAACCCTAAACCCAACCCTACCTCAAACTCTACGTCCAACCCTAACCCCAACCCTACTCCAAACAATAACCCCAACCCTACTCCCAACAATAACCCCAACCCTAACCCCAACCCTACTCCCAACAATAACCCCAACCCTGACCTTAACCCTAGCCCCAGCCCTCCTCACACAAATAACCCCAACCCTGACCCCAACCCTAGCCCCAACACTACATCAAACTCTACGTCCAACCCTCACCCCAACCCTAACCCCAACTCTACTCCCAAAGATAACCCCAACCCTACTCCCAACAATTACCCCAACCCTACTCTCAACAATAACCCCAACCCTAACCCCAACCCTCCTCCCAACAATAACTCCAACCCTGACCACAACCCTAGCCCCAACCCTAACCCCAACACTACATCAAACTCTGTCCAACCCTCACCCCAACCCTCATCCCAACTCTACTCGAACAGTAACCCCAACCCTCGCCCCAACCCTACTCCCAACAACAACCCCAACCCTACTCCCAACAATAACCCCAACCCCGACCCCAACCCTACTCCAAACAATAACCCCAACCCTGACCCCAACCCTAGCCCCAAACCTTGCCACAACCCTAACCCAAACCCTAGCCCCAACCCTAACCCCAACTCTAACTCCAGCCCTAACCCAAACCAACACCCTACTCTCAACAATAACCCAAACCCTAACCCTAAACCCTAACCCTAAACCCAACATCAGGGTTACCCCGGGTGACCCTAGGGTGAGGGTTAACCCTAGGGTGAAAGGGTTAGGGTTAGGGTTAGGGTTAGGGTTAGGGTTAGGGTTAGGGTTAGGGTTAGGGTTAGGGTTAGGGTTAGGGTTAGGGTTAGGGTTAGGGTTAGGGTTAGGGTTTAGGGTTAGGGTTAGGGTTAGGGTTAGGGTTAGGGTTAGGGTTAGGGTTAGGGTTAGGGTTAGGGTTAGGGTTAGGGTTAGGGTTAGGGTTAGGGTTAGGGTTAGGGTTAGGGTTAGGGTTAGGGTTAGGGTTAGGGTTAGGGTTAGGGTTAGGGTTAGGGTTAGGGTTAGGGTTAGGGTTAGGGTTAGTGTTAGGGTTAGGGTTAGGGTTAGGGTTAGGGTTAGGGTTAGGGTTAGGGTTAGGGTTAGGGTTAGGGTTAGGGTTAGGGTTAGGGTTAGGGTTAGGGTTAGGGTTAGGGTTAGGGTTAGGGTTAGGGTTAGGGTTAGGGTTAGGGTTAGGGTTAGGGTTAGGGTTAGGGTTAGGGTTAGGGTTAGGGTTAGGGTTAGGGTTAGGGTTAGGGTTAGGGTTAGGGTTAGGGTTAGGGTTAGGGTTAGGGTTAGGGTTAGGGTTAGGGTTAGGGTTAGGGTTAGGGTTAGGGTTAGGGTTAGGGTTAGGGTTAGGGTTAGGGTTAGGGTTAGGGTTAGGGTTAGGGTTAGGGTTAGGGTTAGGGTTAGGGTTAGGGTTAGGGTTAGGGTTAGGGTTAGGGTTAGGGTTAGGGTTAGGGTTAGGGTTAGGGTTAGGGTTAGGGTTAGGGTTAGGGTTAGGGTTAGGGTTAGGGTTAGGGTTAGGGTTAGGGTTAGGGTTAGGGTTTAGGGTTAGGGTTAGGGTTAGGGTTAGGGTTAGGGTTAGGGTTAGGGTTAGGGTTAGGGTTAGGGTTAGGGTTAGGGTTAGGGTTAGGGTTAGGGTTAGGGTTAGGGTTAGGGTTAGGGTTAGGGTTAGGGTTAGGGTTAGGGTTAGGGTTAGGGTTAGGGTTAGGGTTAGGGTTAGGGTTAGGGTTAGGGTTAGGGTTTAGGGTTAGGGTTAGGGTTAGGGTTAGGGTTAGGGTTAGGGTTAGGGTTAGGGTTAGGGTTAGGGTTAGGGTTAGGGTTAGGGTTAGGGTTAGGGTTAGGGTTAGGGTTAGGGTTAGGGTTAGGGTTAGGGTTAGGGTTAGGGTTAGGGTTAGGGTTAGGGTTAGGGTTAGGGTTAGGGTTAGGGTTAGGGTTAGGGTTAGGGGGTTAGGGTTAGGGTTAGGGTTAGGGTTAGGGTTAGGGTTAGGGTTAGGGTTAGGGTTAGGGTTAGGGTTAGGGTTAGGGTTAGGGTTAGGGTTAGGGTTTAGGGTTAGGGTTAGGGTTAGGGTTAGGGTTAGGGTTAGGGTTAGGGTTAGGGTTAGGGTTAGGGTTAGGGTTAGGGTTAGGGTTAGGGTTAGGGTTAGGGTTAGGGTTAGGGTTAGGGTTAGGGTTAGGGTTAGGGTTAGGGTTAGGGTTAGGGTTAGGGTTAGGGTTAGGGTTAGGGTTAGGGTTAGGGTTAGGGTTAGGGTTAGGGTTAGGGTTAGGGTTAGGGTTAGGGTTAGGGTTTAGGGTTAGGGTTAGGGTTAGGGTTAGGGTTAGGGTTAGGGTTAGGGTTAGGGTTAGGGTTAGGGTTAGGGTTAGGGTTAGGGTTAGGGTTAGGGTTAGGGTTAGGGTTAGGGTTAGGGTTAGGGTTAGGGTTAGGGTTAGGGTTAGGGTTAGGGTTAGGGTTAGGGTTAGGGTTAGGGTTAGGGTTAGGGTTAGGGTTAGGGTTAGGGTTAGGGTTAGGGTTAGGGTTAGGGTTAGGGTTAGGGTTAGGGTTAGGGTTAGGGTTAGGGTTAGGGTTAGGGTTAGGGTTAGGGTTAGGGTTAGGGTTAGGGTTAGGGTTAGGGTTAGGGTTAGGGTTAGGGTTAGGGTTAGGGTTAGGGTTAGGGTTAGGGTTAGGGTTAGGGTTAGGGTTAGGGTTAGGGTTAGGGTTAGGGTTAGGGGGTTAGGGTTAGGGTTAGGGTTAGGGTTAGGGTTAGGGTTAGGGTTAGGGTTAGGGTTAGGGTTAGGGTTAGGGTTAGGGTTAGGGTTAGGGTTAGGGTTAGGGTTAGGGTTAGGGTTAGGGTTAGGGTTAGGGTTAGGGTTAGGGTTAGGGTTAGGGTTAGGGTTAGGGTTAGGGTTAGGGTTAGGTTAGGGTTAGGGTTAGGGTTAGGGTTAGGGTTAGGGTTAGGGTTAGGGTTAGGGTTAGGGTTAGGGTTAGGGTTAGGGTTAGGGTTAGGGTTAGGGTTAGGGTTTAGGGTTAGGGTTAGGGTTAGGGTTAGGGTTAGGGTTAGGGTTAGGGTTAGGGTTAGGGTTAGGGTTAGGGTTAGGGTTAGGGTTAGGGTTAGGGTTAGGGTTAGGGTTAGGGTTAGGGTTAGGGTTAGGGTTAGGGTTAGGGTTAGGGTTAGGGTTAGGGTTAGGGTTAGGGTTAGGGTTAGGGTTAGGGTTAGGGTTAGGGTTAGGGTTAGGGTTAGGGTTAGGGTTAGGGTTAGGGTTAGGGTTAGGGTTAGGGTTAGGGTTGGGGTTAGGGTTAGG